ATCACGACGGCGGCCGACGGGCGTTGTCGGCAACAATCGTTTTTTATTATAACGGCTCTTGAGAGAAGACAAGACACAGAAAATTTGTACTCGCTTCGTTTGATTGCATAAAGAATACAATATATTAATATTAGCAAATCTGTTATTATAAAATTAATTGAAGATTAAATGCTTGTAAAGGATTGGGATTATTATTTCCTGGAGTTAACAGGAAAAGTGGTGCCGTGACCAGGATTTAGACTGGAAGGAAGATTGCTGGTCGGGATAGAAATTGGTGAGCCCGTTCCTATTCCTTTCTTTTAGATCCATTCCCTAGTTCTTTTGGACGAGTAACGTCGAATAAAGTGTTATTGTGCATAGTAGATAATAAAAATAAGAGTATAAAAGTAGAAAAGGCAGTAATTTGCAAACGCGTATAATAGTTACCTACCTTCGCAAAGTAAAAAAAATATATGTACTTAGTTTTTCGAAATTTGCATCAAAGTTTATCATTCTCTTTCAGGTTAAGTATATTTTTTGTAGTTGTTGTATATAAATATTGTAAATTCCAGGTCAAACTTTAAACAACTGCACCGGCCTTTCACGATTGTTGGATGTACCAAGCTTTATGATATAATTTATGATTAAACGAACTTACCTTAAGTGAAGTTCTATCAAAATTATACGAAGGCTTCGTCTGAAGAGATTAGGATACTTGTAGTAGCACGTACAGTGTGGCCATCCATGCACTATAGTTGAGAAAATACATAAAAAAAAAGTTTTTTCTATTTTTATTTCTCATGTGGCAACACTAGTCGTCGCCATATTTCATTTAGTTCAGAGATTTTTCGCCATTTACCTAATCATGTGTATGTTTTTTTGGGGTTTTGGGAGGGAGGGAGCTAATCTCTTCAGACGAAGCCTTCGTATAATTTTGATAGAACTTCACTTATGGTAAGTTCGTTTAATCATAAATTATACTTTGCTTCGTCTTCGAGATTAGGATACTTGTAGATCTTGAGAGTAGTAGAATTTGTAAAAAGAAAATAAAGTTATTATTATAGTTTTTTAAAATAATTTATTTTTGGTCATTTATAAATCACATAAAATCACATTAATACTTGTAAGTATTAAAACAATATCTTTTATTCTAAAATTATTTCTTAATTAAATAGGCAGGCATGACTTACAATTATTGATTAAGCACAGCCATTGCGATCTCGTTACAATTATCTGTAATCAACTGTTCATAAAATCACATTAATACTTGTAAGTATTAAAACAATATTTTTTATTCTAAAATTCTTTCTTAATTAAATAGGCAGGCATGATTTACAATTATTGATTAAGCACAGCCATTGCGAAATCGTTACAATTATCTGTAATCAACTGTTTTTGATAAAAACGAGCAAATGTGCTAGATGAATCTGACCAACCTGCAGTCCTTCGTATAAGGTCAAGGTTAATTCCCTGTCTATATGCGGAAGAGGTTGAAGCATGTCTAGTGGAATGGGCAGAAAATATGTCAGTGTCTATGCCACTTTTAAAAAGAACCTCTTTGATCCATCTACTGATGGATTGAGAAAAAATTGGTTTGTATGGACTTTTAAAACTAATGAAAAGCTGATCACTACTTCTTAGACTATTAGTCTTATTTATATAAACTGATAATGCGTCTGCTGGGCATATATGTGGCTTTTCTGTGAAAAAAGGGAGCTCCAAACAAGGTTGAAGTGATCCAACTCGTGAAGTTTTTATTAGATCAGGTACTTTTATAACTATTTTATCATTGTTATTGATAATTATATTAGATACTTTAATTTTACTCAAAGTTTGCACTCTGTGTGCAGTAACGAGAGCCAAAAGTGTCACTACTTTCTTAGTTAAATCTTCTAAATTAATTTGATCGTTTGGATACCAGCTTTTCAAAAAATTTAGTACGATGGAAGGGTTCCAGGTAACACTATATTTCGGCAGTGGGGGACGAAGGCGATAAAAACCTTTAAATAACCTTGTCATTCTATCGTCCGTCCCAATTTTATAGTTTAAAATCAAGGATAATGCAGATCTATAACTATTCAATGTACTATACTGAGCTCCAGTTTGAAAAATTTCAGTTAAGAATGCAATTACATGGGGAACTGACGCGGCGTAAGGATCGAAATTATGTTTTTTACAATAAAAAAACCATTTCTTAAAGCCACACCATATTGCTTCATTGAGTTATTTGATATTGACGCATCCATAATATCTAATGCACTTGGTGGGACACCCCTTCGTGAGAGCGCCGTGCGGATAGTCTCGCGGCTACCAGCGTAACTTTGTGTTCCAGGTATCTGTTGGGAACAGATGTCAAAACATTTGTATTGGTTCCAAGGATAATCATATCGCGACATAGCATTTGAAATATAGGGAACCATGGTTGAGTGGGCCAGAGGGGGACAACTACCAAGTCTTCTGCTTTGTCTGTGATAATTTTTCGAACAACCTTCAAAATTACTGACACTGGTGGAAATGCGTAAAAATTAAGATTGTGCCAATTTAAGGTAAATGAATTTACTGCAATGGCATCAGGATCTCTGTGCCAAGATACATATGCTTCACATTTTTTATTCAGTCTGGTTGCAAATAAATCTATATTAGGTATTCCGAAATGTTTAATAATCTTATTGAAGGCATCATTAGATAGTTCCCACTCAATATCAGGATGTGAGCGTCGCGATTCTGCATCTGCCACTTCATTGTCTTGTGAGCTGATATAAGACGCATAAATAAATATATTTCTTTTCTCACACCATTTCCATAAAGTTTTAGTTACAGCAGTGAGATGTGGAAATCGCACGCCTCCCATCTTATTAATATAAGAAATTGCGGTAGTATTATCAACCCAGAGAAGTATCTGACAATCACTTAAATGAGAGGCAAAAACTTTCAGGCCAAAATAGGCTGCTAATATATCTAAGTAATTGATATGCATAAGTTTTTCACTATTGCTCCACTTTCCATTAGCCTTTTTCTTACCACATGCCGCGCCCCACCCTGTTTTGCTGGCATCAGAAAAAATTTCCAAACTGTTATAATCTGCCCTAATTGGATTTGTAGAAATATTGATATGAGACAACCACCAGTCAAAGTCCTCTGACAATGTTTCTGGAATTGTCATAAAGTTATCATAATTTCCAGTTTTCTCTAAGGCCAGGTATTTACATCGTTCAATATTTTTGGTATATAACCAACCATATTGAATAGCAGGGCAGGATGAGGTAAGAAGACCTGCTAGTCGAGCGAACTGTCGAATTGAACAATGCTTGATTTTTTTAAATTTAAGTATTTCTTGTTTGATTAGAATTCTTTTTTCATCTGTAAGAGCAATATGATAACTCTTTGTATCAATTATGAAACCTAAATATTTGCATATAGTGCTAGGTGTCAAATTACTTTTTTCATAGTTAATAATGAAACCTAGAGATTCTAAAATAATTAATGTTTGGGATACATTTTGTTTACATTTATAGAGTGAATTGTCAATTAGACATAAATCATCCAAATAAATTGATGATATATGTCCTAATGATCTAAGTAAAGATATGACAGGTTTCATTAGTTTTGTGAAAACGAATGGTGCTCTATTCAGACCGAAGGGAAGTACATTAAATTCGTAAATTTTTCTCTCGAATGCAAAACGTAAATATTTTTTATGTGCTTTGTTTATTTTTAGTAAAAAATATGCATCTTTTAAATCAACTGTACTCAAAAATGAATTTTTTGAAATCAATTTTATTGTAGTTCTTAAATCTTCCATTTTGAAGTGATTTGTCATTATAAATTTATTTAATGATTTTAGGTTTAATATTAAACGTTTTTTGCCATTTGGTTTTGGCACTAAGAAAATGTCTGAAATGTATTGCGTCTCACAAGGAGTACATTCTGATATTGCACCTGATACTAGTAACTCATTAATAATAGTTTGAAATTCGTTTATTTCTTTTATAGAATATTGTTTATGAGGGCTGCAAATGTTTGTTTAGGCGATGAATGAAAAGGTATTTCATAACCGTCCTTTATCCATGACAGAATAAATCTATAATTTGTTAAACTGCACCATCTGTCATAAAATAATGCTAGTCTACCAGCTGGATGACGTACCTCGCCTAGCGGCGTGTCTGCGTGCGCCCGCGCGAGCGCGGAGGCGGTATTGGCGGCAGCGGCGGCAACTGTGGTGCTTGGTAAGGTCGCGCAGCTGGCGGTGGCGGTGGCGGGGGCGGCGGTAGGAAGGGTGCTTGATATTTGCGAGGCTGTTGCGGTGGATAATATGGTCTTCTCCCCGCTCCTATTTGCCTCACTGGTAGGAGAGGGGGTCTCGAGTTTAAAGATCTATGTTGATTAGATCTATGTTGCGACGAAGCTATTGTCTTGGATTGAGACATATTTTTCAATTCAGCCCCTGACTTACAGATTGCCTTTGCTGTTTTCAGGGTATCGGACAAATTTTCTCCAAATAAATAGCTGTCTATCTCAGTAGCATACAATTGGTCTTTTACATCTTTTTTTAGCATAGAAGTAACAAAACTCCTTCGGGACATTGATTCAATGTATTGATTTTGCTGCCCTAGATGTTCGGCCCTACATAGATGGCTCAGGTATAGTGGGAGTACTTAACTAGGTGCAAGGTTTCTCCCCATATGTTATTCTGCCGCGCTCGAGTAAATCCAAAAATCCCCGCCTAGGCTCCCCTACTATAATATGTTCTGTTACTTATTTGATTTTTTGCGTAATAAGTACTAGTTTAAATCCATAAAATAATATTTCTTACATTAAAACGTCAAATTAAAGAAGAAAATTATAAAAACATAACATAACTTTAAACGTTTATTTCAATTATGATATATTCAATAATTCGGTGTAATACGAGTGTGTTAAATGTGATTATGTTTATGCTCTTTTCCACTGGGGGTGCGAAATGTGCTTGAAAGAAGAAGATGCGGCGTTATTATTCTAAGTTGACCCGCCAAGAAATCCATTTAAACTGTTGATCGCAGAAAGGCGAATAAAGAGTATGTTGTCTTCAAAATCTGGAATAATAAACATTTATTTCAGGCGTAGTACCCATATTATATGCAGAAATAGAAAAACCATAGTTAATAAAATTAAATAATCAAATAATAATAATAAAATATATAAATTACAAATCATTACAATTCATTTAAATTTAATCATAAATCCATCAAATTAAATAAAATCGATTTCCAGCAGGCAAGGATGTCAAATATCACAAATGTCATATGACATTCAGCAGTCATACACAGCGCTAATTATTAAATTACTACATTTTCTAATGCGATCAATAAAAAAAACGGCTCTTTTTACTCCGCAAACATGCCCGACGCACTACACCGCCACGGCAGTTTAAGTATCGCTCCAAAAGCGTTATTGTACTGCACACGTAGAGTGTGGAATGCTCTCTTTGTATAGTTTTTCCACAAGTAGCTGGTATAGAACGACTGGCAATAAGCGCCCAAAGGGGTAATTTTTACAGGCACACTACACCGAGCAAATCTGCGGGCTAACATATTACTTTTGGCGGCAATGGATCTCCTTTGTCTTTCTATGTCATCGCATCGTCATCATTCTTTATTTATTTCTTAAAATATATCCCAGGTATTGAAATTGTGATACGATTTTAAGCTGTGATTCTGCCAGAGTAACAACAGGGTTAAACAAATGAGTGAACAAGTAAAAAAATAAATATTCAATCATAAACCGTTATTTCACATGAACTTTTCATTAAAGTTGTCTTATACAAAACGAAGTTTTATAGAACTGAGAAAATATAGAAGAGATTTAAAAGTAATAGGGGCATATTTGTAGATGATAAATATATAATCTATATATATATATCCAAAAAAGAAACAGAACTGGCAAACATGGATCTTAAAATACATAAAAATCATAATTAATGACGTCGATTCCATCAATTACAAAGAGTTAACTTTGTTAAAAGTGAAGTTAACTCAATAAGCGCCTTTCATTTATTACGTAAGACTATCTTCGCTAGTTTTTGAGCCCTTCCCCCCTATACATAAATATATATATATAAATAAGAAAAACATAAGAATAGGTCGACCCCCTTTTTCTCTGTTTAATATTTAATCCGTAAGAATCTTATTTAAACAAACCAAACATGAATGAATTCATATTTTCCTTTACTATTTTAAAATTTTTAGAAATGTTTATTTGTGCTTACAAAGGTACTAATAATTTATATTTTTGATAGTAATAAACTTTGGTTTAAATCGTTCATCTTTACCGTTTTATGTTTTTACCAATATGACATGGTCGACCCCTTCTAAATCGTCTTACGTAATAATTGAATGGCCCCAAAGAAGAATACAATGCATTAAACAAAGTGCTTTTCATAAAGTTTCGCGAAATAATAAAGCGAAACAATAACAATAATGAAAGAAGAAGAAGATTAGACTTAAATGTTTTACTGTTTACTGACGTCTTTTTGGCTGAATCAGTAAAAATTGCATAGGACCTTATTAACAGGTCCTCTGATGACTGATTAGGATTTGTCTAATTACCGCAACCATAGGTGTGACACCAACTTTTGTTAGTCCTAAGGCGGTGACCTGTACAGGTGTTTGCACCCTCTGTAGCAAAAAGCACAACAATCGTTGATTTCTGACATCCATACACTCCCATGGTAACTCATAAACTGCGTCTATGAGTTTCTCGCTCTGAAATCATTACGGAAAGTTGACGGAGTAAATAAAAATAATAATCAATATCACATGTCTTTCTTGAAAAGTAAAATATATTTTTTTTTATGGAAATAGGTATTATATCAGACATCTTATTGATTTCAAAACAAATTTTATCTACCCACTACTCAAAATTACAGTACACACCTTGGCTCCAAGAAGTTCAAATAGTACAGAAATTTGAAAAAGCTGATAAAACATTATAACTGTTATTGGTCCGTATTGTGCTAATGCATCTGGGTCCTGTAATGCAATTGAATAATAGTTATTTATGCAACTGTTGTATAATAAGGAGTATGAAAACAAATGTGGATTTGATATTAGTTTTGCCAAAAATTATTACTTTTTTTGTTTTTTTACTAAAAATGAGGGATTCAAGTTTTGATTGAACACACCACCAGGTATATCTGATGCAGCAAAGAACATTTTCAAAAAATAAAAACAGTATGAAAATGCCTGCCTACCAAAATTTCATGAATTGCAAAAAAAATATCAAAGGGTAAATATGTCGCACATTGTTGAACGGAAGATATATACAGGGTGTTACAAAAATACAAATAAAGCTTGAAGGGCGTTGAAGTACATCATATAAGGAGTCTTCTCTAATTTTCTTAAAATATTTGCATGAAGTTTTAATTTTTATAAAAACAGTTCATTTTAATGATCCTCGAACTAGTGACGTGTCGTAAATTGATCGATATTTTTATTAATCATTAAAACATCAAAAATAATCAACAATGAACCTCCTCCTCAGGTATTTTTATTTTACGCTTAAATAAGGAAGTGTCTACGCGTACGTTGAGGACTCGCGATTGAGCTTTATTAAGCGTAAAATAAATCCCATCAAAAACATTCTGCAAAAAACTAGCCAATTCTTGATGGAGCTGCTTGTTTATCTCTAAAAAGTAATGAAATCTAGACAAATTCGTGCCAAGTCTAAGGTTCCTTACTGCGATTTCTTTATTATTATAGTTAATGTTGTGTGAGTTGGCCGTTGAAGGGTACACAAGGGTACAAAACTAGGTGCTACATGACACCATTGGCGAAATGGTTCCAGTAAAGAATGGTACGGCAGTGTTGACGACTAGGCGGGGGCACTGCCGTGCCCTCCGAAATACCTGAGGAGGAGCGTAACAGGAGTCGAGTGATTAGTTATCATATAAAAGGGATAATAAAACTTAAGATTGACAAAATATGTAAAGATGCTACGAACTTATAATATATTAAAATTACTCGATTTCCAAGACAACACTTCCAACAACAGATTTCAACAAATAATGCCCCATTTAGTACATCTTTTTTTGTATTATAATGAAAGCTTATATATGTATGTAGTAGTTTATGTATGTAGTCGGGCAGTTTTTAAAATTAGTCAGAAGTTATGGAAAATCTATTTTCATTTTTTTTTATTTCAATTGAAAATCCATTCTGTTTTACTTAATTCATTTTTATTTAGTATTGATCAAATTTTTTATATCATTGGTTAAAGTTAAGAAGGAGATTATTTTACCTATAAAACTACAAGCAATAGGCATTCTATTAAAAAAAATCGAAGAAAAATCGACTCAAAAAATAAGTTTTAAAACTTAAAAAATAACGAAAAAAAACCTAACTCGAAAACTACGCAAAATCGTAGAGCATACATGGGGGTTAAATAGATAGTTATGGTACTACGCTATCAGCTCGCACTGGCTTGACACCCTAGAAGAAACACCCTGTATATATATTATATATGTATGAATGACTCGTAAACAAGTTGTGCTCATCAACCAATAAATGCCCCTACTGGGATTCTAAACCAGGACCAGGTCAGGATAAAAATTTTGAGAGTTCTTCACGAAAAGATTTACAACAGAATCTCATTAATAAGACTTCTGTGGCGTGGGTCCGTCAATCCATCAACCAGATATAATCTGAACTGTATGTATAATAGACAGGTTGTTTAATTTTTTATATACCCTTTGCTTTGGTCACGCCATAAATTGAGAAAAACTTCACCGATTTCATCTATCCTTTGTTTAAATTTTCTAATATTTTATAGAAGATATTTGCGGAAAGAATAAGGTTGCGCGAAACTAAAGTTAACGGAGCCGAAGTCGCGGGCGGAGGCTAATATTAAACGAAACATAGATATTTATAAAAAACTAGCTGACCCAGCGAACTTCGTACCGCCATAAAAAAAATAATTAAAAAAACATTGTCCAGCGGACAAAATTGTGAATCTAAAGTTCAGTGACATACACACTCACAGAAGAATTATATTATAAAAAATAGTAACTTTTTTAACTTACTAATTGGGAGCACTCGATTAGCAAAAGGCAGCAACTAATTAGATGACACAAATAAGTGCTTGCCAACGCAGGACCTAATAAAAAAGAGACGTCGCTGACGAATCTGAAATATTGTCTTTTCCATCATGAAACACATTTTAATTCTTGTATTTAATTATAAACTTAAGTACTTACTAGAATAATAATAATTCTATCAAATGGTCAAAATGTAGCAGTTGAAATTATATTATGAAATTATTTATCATCATCAGCAGCCTATTAATATCGCCATTGCTGGGGCACAGGCCTTCCCTATCGATGGAAAAGGGAGATTGGGTCGTGACCGCAGCCGGAGCTAACGGCCTCACGTGCCTATCGAAGCACGGAGAAGTTTGAGATAGTAAGTTTTTGGTCACCCATCCAATAACCGACCATTGCAAAAGTTGCTTAACTTCCACAATAGCAAGCCGAACGCGCTAACCATACCATAATTCAACGATTGAATTATTAATAGTACAAATCAAAAAACAAAATCATATTGTCCTTACCTGAGTATAAACCTATGATGATTTACGATTTCAACTATTTTGTTTCTTAATATTTCATTTTCTTCGTAGTCATACAATTCCACTGTTACATTCGTTTGTGTTTTAAATCCTTCAATGTTGTGGCAAGTTTTAGGCATTTCTATATTTTTGATATTGTTAATCAATATCATAATATGCCCAATCATTTGGAATACGAATAAAGCCATGAACAAATCGAATATACAGATTTCAACAGTACAACTGTAAGTTAAGTAAAGATTCGTAAATGTCACAAACCAGAAGTGATCTTCTGGCATAAATCCGGGAAAACTGTAATAGACCGAAAACTCAATCGTTACATTCGCAACACGATTACTACGATGAAGAACACCTGCATTGTAATTATGGTAAAGCGGTAGGGCGTTGTAGAGGAGCATTCCATAAATCATCATTCCAGCCATTACGAGGCTGTAATAATATGAAAATTTATACACGATTTCGCTTGCCTGTGAAAAATAAAAAATATTTTATTAAATGTGTAAATATCATTCCGGCTAACTTCATTTGGCTCTACTGTGTACCGGATTACCCTTCATTGGATGAAATCGAATGCTTAGGCCACATGAAGTGCGCCCTTGCCTATCCGATCGCAGATGAGTCTAGACCTTCCACATGGTCATAACTAATAATAATACTAATTATGTATATGTAAATGTTACCGGCAATCTGTATAATCCGGTATTCTATACCATACCTAGTAGAAAGGCAAAAACGACAAGGCAAAAGCAAATGCCAAAAACGTCAAGGCGAAATATTATTCATTTTAAACTAAAAAAATTAAGAATAAATTGTAAAAAAATGGAAAATACTTTTATGTGGAGACTTAAATGTTAATATTGTATACATGGCTCAACTGTCAAGCAGATTTATAAATCTATTTTATTTAAATCATTTAATTTATTCCATATTTTTACGGAACCCACACGCGCGCTTACAGTTTTATCGGCTACTTGCTACTTATAGATAATACACAAATCAAAAAATCTAAGCAACACGCATCATTTACGAAAATTACAGAAATTAATTATGTTTTATTAATTGATGTTCAATTGTTTTCTTAGCAAAGTAGATTGATAAACAATCTTTTTGCTCTCGACAAATACAATTTATTCATGGGTAGGCAATCTGCTTCTTAGTTGTGCCTGTTAGGCATTTTTGCCGTGTGGCATCTTGCATGCACTATGCTCATAACCGAAAATATCGCCGCTCCCTGAGAATAAAATGATGATTGCAAAAGTTTTAGTTGTATATAATTTTTGTGATCTGTGGGTACTAAGACATCTACGTACGTACGTTATTTCGTAATATTTATACAGTTATTCACGGAATTACAAAATATTTCAATACTCTATTAAGATTGTACTATACCCATGGCAAAAATACTACAATAAAATGTTTATATAATATTATCAAAATGTATTTAAACTGTACCAAGTATCCAAATAGTCATACTTTACTTATGTTCTCGTAAAAAATATTTGACTAGATAACGATAAACTCAGCTATCATAATACTAAGTAAGGTATTTCTCTTTTTTCTTATAATACCTACTGTATTGTCGATTTACTGGTTGTGCATGTATTTTAAGAAAGAATAAAGATTTTTATTATTATTTTATTTTAGTACTCAGCCGTTCATGCGTTTCGTATAAAGTTGTATTAAAAAGGACTCTTACGGATTTTGAAGAGTTTTGTTAATTAAGAAGTACTTGAACCGAATAAAGTTAACGTCGATAACAATAACAATATTGATAGTAGAAAATAAAAATCGCTTAATTTAACTTTTACTTTGGCAACTTAAAACGAGTATCAAAGATTTTTTTTCACAAAAAACGTCTTTATAATTGAAAATTAAAATATATTCATAAAAAAAACACTGAATGCTATTTCTTTTAAAAAGATAAATGTATAGTAACTTTACTTTATGTAAGTATTAAATGGTGCTTAACCGAAAGTCATTTGGCTCGTTCCAAATTTCTATTGTATTATTGATAAACATGGAATAAGTATTGTTTTTGACAGAATTTAAAATAAGCAGCACCGCAGTGTCGGTAGATCCCTTATTAGGTGGACTGACGACATCAAGCGAGTCGAGGGGACCCGCTAGATGCGGAAAGCTCAGGGTCGTTGTGTTTGAAGATCCGAGGAGGCCTATGTCCAGCAGTGGACGTCCATCGGCTGATTATGATGATGAATTTAAAATGCTATACTACGTAAATATATATAAGGATTTTCTCAGCGTGTCGCTGTCGGCACTCTTATTTATTTATTTATTATCATCATTCAGCCATACGAAGACAGCATTCCCTCAAAGATTTTCAGACTGATCGGTCCTGAACTGCCCCCATCCAATTACTTCCCGCAATCTTCAATGGATCGTCGATCTATCGTGGAGAACATAACACATAATCCATCACTATGGATTTAACCGAACCGTCTGTGTTATCACTATAACACAGACAATTCGGTTGCACTTCGTTCACTTAGTACGGCGACTGGGAGCTCCGCGACAAGCGCTGACGCAGCGGCGCGAGCGTCCCCTCCTCCACTCCCGCAAACCGGCTCCCGATTCACGTTAACAAAGCACACATGCAAATTGATTGCGCTCAATCTATAGGCACTCACACCATAGGGTGCTAGGTCAGACAACCTCCTCGTGGTGCACCCTGGGCAACGTCGGCTTGAGCGGAAGCCATGCTCGCCGGCGGCTAATGGTCTGGCAAGTGGAGCCGTAGAGTCGGGCTCGGAGGTTGGCGCCTTCAAGGTGTGCGGGCTGCATTTGCGGTCCCTGTTGGTTTGGTGCCTCAGCATCTCGCCGAGAGAGGGGGGCGTTCACGCCCGTGGTTAGGGCGGTTGCGGTGCGAACTCCGCGTTGCCTCCGGCCAACCCGTAATCCCACACGTGGTGTGGGACCGGGGGCCGCCGTCCTTAAGGGCGGGGGCCGCAAGGAAGACAACCTTTTAAAAAAATTACCCAGTGGAAGAGGCCAGGTAGGGTCCCCCCGCCCGGAAGGGGAAATATCGTAATGGTTATGTCTGCTCATTGTGTTAGTGTCTTGTCATGCGCTCCCGCTGACACCGGGCGCTTCGAGGTAGCTGGGCCTCGAAGTGAGAAATTTGTAACTAGCGCCAATGCGCTCCGGTTGGCCACCAGCGCCAGGGGGAGTCCGGTACCCCTGGTGGGAAATCCCCTACCGAGGCGTCCGAAGGTGTGAGGTTTAAAAAAGGCCCTTCTCAGGGCCACCCCAAAGGCCCTTATCAGGGCCACCTGAGAGGCCAGGTAGGGTCCCCCTCGCCCGGAAGAGGGGAAAACCGTATGAAAATGCTAGATTACTGTGTTTGTTGTAAGTCATGCGCTCCCGCTGACACCGGGCGTTTCGGGGTAGCTGGGCCCCGAAGTGATAAATGGGTCACTAGCGACCAATGCGATCCGGCTGGTCACAGGCGCCAGGGGGATTCCGGTACCCCTGGTGGGAAGTCAATTACCGAGGCGTTTGCAGGAGATAGGTCGGCAAAAGGCCCTTCTAAGGGCCACACCAAAGGCCCTTGTGAGGGACAAACCGCAAAGGGTGTGGAAGTACTCTGTTTAAGAGGAGGCGGAGACGAGGGCTCAAAGGAGCCTCGCAATAAAGGGAGAATGGGTACACGAAGGGGAAAGACTCAGCCCATCAACAATAGTGGTACGTCCGACTGCGAGGACTTCATCTCAACTGAAGAGTTGAGCAGGGCTGGGTCTCCAGTCACACTGACAGGAGGGAATGAAATAACAGAGAGTGTAGACTATGACGCTCCAAGGGCTGGCTCCAAAAGAATGCCCACAGTGATAACAGGCATGGATAGCTCGGCGGAAAGTGGCGATGATTCAAATGCGGAGTCAATAACAATAGCGAAACCAAGGGGGAAGAAAGTCACTAAGAAGGGTGGTCGAGCTGTCACAACGGGGGTATACTTTGGAGTGACAGAGGCGAGGAAGTTCGAAAAGAAATTGGAAATGCACGAATATCAAGAGGAGACAGAAGAGATATTAAGTGCACAAGGGGAAAAGGACAAGGAAGAATCCTCCTCTGAGACCAGAGAGGACGGGGCCTCAATGACTATAGAAGTACTGAAAGCCAGAGCACTGGAACACGTGGATGAGGTGCTGATGGTCTCCCGCAAATCAAAATTAAAAGGTACCTTTAAAAAGGTGCTAAATGATGCTGGGACGGCGCTTACGAACCTGATTGAGTCTCTGACATCGGTTAATATGATGGAGGAAACCCGCCGTCTGAAGGCTAGTAACGAGTGTCTGCGCAAAGAGGTGGGAAATCTAAAAAAGGATGTCAAAGCGTTGCACCAAAGCCTAGCCGAAAAGGCGGATAAGGCGCAGACACCCAAGGTGGCAAGACAAAGAGAGATAGCCAGGACACAAGATGTAATGGTTCCAATGGGGGAAATGCTGGATGGCCTGAAGCAGTCATTACTCGAGTCTGTAGGAAGCATGATTGATAAGCGGATGAAGGGCATCGAGCAACAGCTGAGAGCCTCAGAGGGGAGGAAGAAGGTGGAATCGGTCGCCGATAAAACTGTCGAGAAGGCGGCAGCGGCCGAAAACACGAATCGGAACGAGGAGACAACGCAACCGGAGCAAGAACCCCGACAAGAGAAGGAGTGGACTAAGGTCAGAAAAAAGAGTAGAAGGAAGAATGCACCCACTACGGAGATGTCAGGGGAAGCAGGGACTGCTCCTCTTCCGGCATTGTCATATGCGGCGACGGCGAAGAAACAAGGGCAACCCAACAGACCAAGTGCTCAAAAAGGAAAGGCACCAAAGTCAAGGAAGCTGTCGGCTCCGAAGACGGCCGCAGTGGTGATCACCGTCACCCCTGAAGAGGAGGGAAAAGGGACAACCTATGGTACGATCATAGCAAAAGCGAAGAAAATGATCAATATAACGGAACTGGGTTGTGAGGGGATGACGGTAAAGACAACTGCAACGGGGGCAAGAATGTTCAAGGTACCGGGTGCAGACAGGGGGGAAAAGGCTGATGCACTAGCCAGAAAACTGAAGGAGGTGCTGCAGGGGATTGCAACGGTAGCGAGACCCATGAGATGCGTAGACCTGAATCTCTCTGGGCTTGACGACTCCGTTGAGGCAGAGGAGATTAA